CCTCGACTTTGTCCCTACTTACAAACCATCATTATACTTATTTTGACGTCACTATTCACAAAATTCCTCCAACAAATCCCAACCCGGAGAGTCATATTCGCCTGTAGATTCTCTCATCAACCGACCATTTTGTGGATGCCAAAAATTTCCATAAAATCCCGTTATCACCGCCACGTGTCACGTGTTCGAAAACGCTTCATATTTACAACACTACCCTTTCCCCACCTTTTCCAATATATAAACACCGCACACAGTATTCTCTTCTCCTCGCTACACACTTCCGCAAAACCTTTAATTCAGAATCTCAGATTAATTAAAAAAAGTGATCAGACTGAGAAATGGCTACTGCTACTTTAAGTGCAGCTGATAATGAGAAGATCTCCAAGCTACAATCTTCTGTTTCCGGTCTCAATCAAATCAGGTTTTTAATTATTTGATGAGTTTTATTTATTTAACTATTGTAGATCTGGATCAGTAGATTGAAGATTTTTGTTTCATTTTCAGTGAAAATGAGAAGGCTGGATTCCTCAACCTCGTTACTCGCTATCTCAGGTATGGTGAAAATCTATTGGACGTCTATGGTTAGTGGTTACAGATTAGGGGTGATCATTACCTTTTGTTTTATGAAACTTTAGTTCTGTGTTTTTGTGTCTCTTGATCCAAATCTTGGATCAGTACTCATTGATTTTTTTGGTATCTTGAAAATGAAGGAAATGGATATAAGACTATCTCCAACCCAGCACCATTTTGCACCAAATCTTGCACCAAACTAAAAATCATTTTCCAACCCATTAGACCAAAAGTTGCTCCAAATGAATAGTGTTTAGTCATTTTCTTCATTTCTATTATTTTTAACAATTTATATAGCTGAAAATTTATTTATTTGTTCGATTTACTACTACATAAATTACTGCATACATAATTACATTTTGTTTACGAAAATATGAAATTATTTAATATATTTTAAAAATGTAGTGCAATTATTAAAAATATCACAACTAAGAAAATATGAAATCATGTTGTTGAAAATAACGTAGTACATTTCGAATCTCAAAATTATGGTACGGAGGAGTCGACCTAGTGTTATAATTTAATTATCGTAATTCATATATTCATCTCACAAATGTTAAATTAATGCATTTCGTTTTGAGTACTTTTATTTTAGTTTGTTCATCTATTATTCTTAATTATGCGATTAAAGTTTATTACAAATGATGATGATCATCAATAATAATAATAATAATAATAATTAACTATTTAATTATGAATTAAAATTTATGTATGATGTAAAATGACACAAATACCATTTATATCAACTTGGTCATACATGAAAAAAAGGGCAACATGAACTTTTCTCACATTTGATGCAAAATGGTGCAAGTGAATAGTGTTGGGTTGGAGTGGTGTTTTTGGTGAAAAATGGTGGAATTGTGTATGGGTTGGAGTTGCCCATGGACCCTGCCCATCTAAGAATCTGATGTCACTATTTCTGAATTTTGGATAATTTTACGTATTTAAAAAGTTTACCATTGTTCTTCACTCCTGTTATCCAGTTTTTTTGAAGTTGGATTGTGATATGTTTCATGACAATTTTTTTTGGAAATCAAAGTGGTGAAGCTCAACACGTTGAATGGAGTAAGATCCAGACACCAACTGATGAGGTGGTCGTGCCATATGATACCTTAGCTCCTGTTCCTGAAGGTGATATTCATCTATTAGATATGCTTATCTCCCTTCCATTTTGAAGTTAAATTATCTAAAGTATATAAACCTGAGTGCAAATAATTTTTCTTTGTTTAGAGATTAATTTGGATTAAAAAGGCTTGTGAATAAAATTAACTATCTTGGTTAACGCAGATCATGCAGAGACTAAAAATCTGTTGAGCAAACTTGTGGTGTTAAAGCTTAATGGAGGCTTAGGGACAACAATGGGATGCACTGGTCCAAAGTAAGCATTATACTGGTTTTTAAATTTTTCAAAAAATTATCTACCATAATTTTCCAGCTTAGAGATATAAGAAATGCATGTATTGGTTTTTAGTTTTATGTAGATGAATTTAATTAACTAATTGTTATCTGTTGGAATATCTGTGTGATTTCCAGGTGTCATCTTTTGATTTTGCAAACTAAAGATAGTATTAGTGGTGGTATGAGTAAATAAATAAAATATTTGTTCTCTTGTATTTATGTGTTTTGTTTTTGTTGATATTTGCGGCGCAAGTGGATATAGGTGGTAAATATTAGAATAATCTTAGACTGGTCACTTAAAATATATGCTTATGGAATTCAGTAAACATCTGAACTACTTGTGTGCTCCATTGCCCTAGTGTTCTCAAGTCTGATCACAAAAGAAGGTTAAAGTTATATCGTACATTCACTTCTCAAAGAATATTTTTGAATTATTGTGATTTTATAACCTCATCCATAGAAAATTGCAATCCCATATATCAATGAAGTCTGAAGAACAAGGTTCAATTTTTGTGGACTTCGTGTAAATAGTTGCTTAATAGTGGAATATTGCTAGCTTTCTCTAGCTAGCTGAATATGTTAACTTTATTCAAAGTTGAGGAAACTTATTGCTTGTGACATGGCTTGCTTTTCTCTCTTTAAGCATCCTTTTTTATCCTAAGAAAACTGCATATAATGAGTAATACTGAAAATTATGTTCTCATTGTTGTATTCTTCTTCACACCTGTATGGGTAAAATTCATATTTCTGTTATGTAGGTCTGTCATTGAAGTTCGTAATGGTTTGACATTTCTGGACTTAATTGTGATCCAAATTGAGGTATTACGCCAATCAAATACATTCTTCTATCACTCTTCTATCATCGTTGCCAGTGACTAACAATTCTAGTTGTCTGTAGACACTTAACAAGAAGTATGGGTGCAGTGTTCCCCTGCTTTTAATGAACTCTTTCAACACCCATGATGATACATTGAAGGTGAAATATATCTGCATCAGTTATATCCTATTGAAAATGATTTTCCACATTTAATTTAGGTCAAATGCTGACCTGTTGGTTTTTTTTTTTTTTTTTTTTTTTTTTTTTTTTTAT